AAAAGTTCAACACTCTTTCCTTTATTTCTAATGGCATTATCCTGTTTTTGAATACTTTGCTTAACTTTTGAAGTGCATCCTTCTGAATCTCAGACATTACATTGCAGAAAAATGAGATTTTGGTGAAGAAGCTCTGAGATATAAAAAAAATAATTTGGAATTATATTTTTATCTGATGATGCAATGGATTATTCATCTTTGTGTCCTTAGCTTTTAAAAACTGTTTAAATTGGCTCAGTTTCTAGTGTTTACCAGGTATTAGAATATCCAATAATCCACTATCAATCCTTATCTTTCTTTACAAGTGGGATCAGTTAAGAGTTGCTTTTAGCAAATCAAATGATGCTAATCTCCCCTTGAGGAAGGCTAAACATTAGCAGAGGATTCACATAAACAAGAATCTCTTACACATTATTAACAATGTGCATTTAGAATTCCAAAGGACAGGTATCAGATATTTTGGTTAGTCTTTCATAAATGCATTAATAGCATAAATGTGTTGAAAACAGTGTCAATAAAGAGAAGTGTTTGAAAATATATATATATATATATATATATATATATATATATATTAGTGGAAAATATTTCACATCTGAGCTGGAGAATGAAATTGAAAATACTGGAGAATGTATTATTCTAAAAACATACAGTATTAAAAACAGCAAAGATAAAGACAAGAATCTAAAAATATATAGAATAAAGAAAATATATGAAACAAGCTCTGAGGAATATACTGGCCAGAATGTTGTAATAAAAATGACTATATTTTAAAAGATATATAAAATCATGAAAATACTTGAAACAATACTACAAAGGCTGAAGACTACATTGGTTAAAGTGTTCTGTTAAGTACTGTAAAGATAAAGACAGCTAAAGAATGTATTGACTAAAACTTTGTGTTGAAAACAGAGAAGACAAAGTAGAGAGTTTAAAAAAATAATGAAAATAGTTGAAATGTTACAACAAAAGCTGAAGAACATATTGGACAAAGAAATATCTCCCAAACGAGTGTCTAAAAAAATTATGGAATAATGAAAATAACTACTTTATCTCAGAACTTCAGAAAAATTATAACAGCTGAAGAATGTATTGAACCAAAAATAAACTGTGCCAAAAAAGAAAACAAAAAACTTGAAAAATACTTATTTCCAGAAGATTATGACACTTCAGCCAATAATCTGCATTAGGAAGATTTAACTGATTTTGCTTAGAAAGTAACTGACTATATCTTGGTGTAATGTACTATACCTGATAAGGAAAAGAGAATATACTGTTGAAAAGATAACACAAGAAACAACAGATCTTTGTACGATAAATGCATTATTAAATCATAACAATAGAAAAATTACTGAATATTAACTTAGGTTGATATTATTTGCAATTTATGATGACTAGGTATTTAAAAAATACTATCTAATTTTAACTCATCTAAAATCTCTAAAACAATGTTTAACTCATTAATGTTACTGATTGCATTGACAGTTTACTTTCAAAAATAAGAATCTATATGTATTGATAAGAGAAACTTTTGCTAGGAAATTTTCATATGAAGTATATAGCAATCACTTGGAAATATTGGCTCAACTGAATGAAAATTTCTCTTGACATACTTGGATTCTACCCTCAAAATGCATCACTTGCTTTCAGAGAATGCTATGGATCAATGTCAGCCAAACACTCCTTTCTCTAGCCTTGATCTTCCCAGGAACATGACCAAAAAGAAATTGCATCGGCACTGGGTCTCTGAAAGTTTTGAACTATCAACCAAAGTTTATTTTCTTTCCATTTCATTCAAAGTAAAATACTTAAAGAATGGAGAAATCCACCAGAATATACTTCTTGTCAAATGCCAACAGATGCCATTTGCCTAGCTACTGAAGCTTTTACATAAACAAGTTCTCATAATGGTAAAGATTAAGTAAATATTTCTTGCTTTTTTGCATTATAAATGGTTGTACATAGACCAGAATTTACCATACTTATTTGCATTTACATAAACAGAGAGTTTAAAAAAATAATGAAAATATTATCCATTTTCACCTCCAAAAAAGTTTAAATATATCTTTCAGCTCTTACACAGGAAGTTGATAGGTTAATGTTTACATAGATATAAGATGACCAGTAATTGAAACTAGCCACATAATATAATACTGTAACAAAAAGTTAATTCTGTTTTTGATGTTAGAAAGCATTAAGAGCATATAGATTTAATTAACTTCATTTGAAAAAAAATGTTTTGACTGCATTCTAACAGTTTTAGCTGTATCAAGGTCATCTCAATGTACATTTTCCTGCAAACTAAATATTGTAATAAACAGCATATCTTTTTTATGATGCAACAATAAGTTACATTTTTGTCATATGTCATTTTTTATATTAAGAAAGGTTTAAATGAAATGTAAACACATATATGCAGTTTATGAAGAAAGTAATGTAAATATTCTAACATGAGAAAAGTTGTTTCTAAATTTTTTTACTAAAGATTTCTTATTAAATGATACTCTTTAATTGGGTAGACTAGTTGTGGTTGACAACAATTAAATTAAGACTACACTTGAGAATAATCTATATTACATGCTATTGGAGAGCACCAATATTTTCCTAATATTCAAGTAAGTCATTCCTACCAGATTACTTATTGTTTGTCAAAATGAACATGTTAATATTTTTAAACAAATTATAACAAGAAATGAAAAGTGGATGCTTTACAACATAAATACAAGCATTAAGCAATAAAAATAAACTTCCTCTAGATTTGCTTAAGATAATTCTTAATATAAAAAAGTGATATTGTGAGAGTGGAAGTGAGTACTTAACTCTGAATTTCTTCTCAAGAACTAAATGAATAACTGAATCAAGTACTGCTCTCAGTTGAAGTGTCTTGAAATAATGAAGAAAAAGAACATAATATTCAATCAGAATGAGCAGAGACAGCATGTTTCTTTGGTGACCTGGCAAAAATTGCCATATGTAGAGTGGGAAGTTTTCACTAATCTGCCACATTCACCATATATTGCACCACCAGAAAACTGCAAAAGGTGATGAAAGCAGTTCTTTGATTATAAAGACAAAAGTTATAGGACTGAATTCACTACCATATTATTTTCATGGCAAATGTTCTTATGAGCTATATTTATTAGTTTTGCCAGTTCAGACCTTCACAGCTAAAACCCACTATGCTCTATACACTGATACAAATCATCCCCAATCTCTTCATATTCGATTAATAAGGAAGTTCCATTCAGACATTTCCTTCCCAAGAATTCCTATATTGTAGAATAGACACTTAAGTGGATGTTTCCCCAATTACTACAGTCTTAAACACTTCAAGTCTAGGGTCAAACATTATCTTTCCTATATATCCTCAGAGTCTGCACTTCTTACTTCCTCCAAGGAAGAAAATAGAAAAAAGAACTTATACTTAGAACCAGACAGAGACAGTAGGAATTTCTGGAATAGATAAGGAAGAAAGAAGGCTTGGAGAATTTGACACTCATAGGACATACTGAAAAGTAACTTGTGTACCTATGTAATAATCAGGTGTAAATTGATGGCAGAACAAGTACTTTGATGGATAGTAAGAAGACAAACATTATTTAGAGCTACAAAAGGTAGGAAGTTGTGAAGAGCCATGATAGTCCATGTCCTAAATGGACATGACATAAAAAAAGCAATCCTCTCATGTTGAGACTGAACATCAATACTGGTGTCTTCTAGTCAAAACATTTGCATTTTGTCAGTTAAGTCTTAATTACTCCTGCCTAAAGCGAAATTCTAAATTTTAACTTGCAAGCTAATTTGTAACTTTTCAAACCAAATCAAATACATGTTTCCTGTCTTGTCTGCAAAAATCAAACTTAAATTGACCAAATATAAATTCAACAGACAGAGGCTTTTTGCATTCTTTTTGAGGATATATATTATTATATTTGATATCTACTCACTCACACTTACTCTTCACACTCTTTTTAGCCTCGAGGCAGTGTATTCATTATTAACCTGCCTTCAGTCATCATTTTAGCTTCCATTCATCTGTTTTTTGTGATATTATATCAAGAATAAAACTAATCTAATCTACAAGCTATGCAAGACAGAACCAAAAGTAAACTTTTTTCCAACTAAAGTTCACCCAATACAAAATCACACTGTGTAAAGGGTTACTATCAAAATGGTTATGATCAATAAAGTTATTTTTATAGTATTGTTCAACAATACAAGGCTTAAGAGCCATGCAAAGTAAAGATTTACTGAATGAGGTTGTTGCATGGGCATAAGAGGAGGAGGTATGATGTACAGATAATAAGGATATGTAGGATAAGGGTCAATCCGAGATTGAAGAGGTTAAGATCAAAATGATTAGGAAAGTACCCCCCCCCCCACCGGGTGTCTATTCTACACAATGTAACAATTCTTGGGAAGATTGAAAATTTGCTTTGAAAATAGCAACAGAAGCTAGTAATATTTCATCTTTGGTATTTGGATTGATTTAGATTGATTTGTATTTTATGGCTTATCAACCTTTTGGGCGTTATTTAAAGATGAAACATAATTTAGGAAGGTAAGAATAATTTTTTTTGTCATGAATGAATATTGCATTAATTTTTAAAATATAACAATGATTTTTCCAGATAAAAGTACTACTATTTAACCCATACCTGGGGGAAAATTATCCATGGGGAAATGGGAGGTTGTACAGTGGAAAATAATCTGTGTGTAGTATGACTGAAAGAGAATTTAATAGGAAGTGGAGGTTATGAGAAAAAGAAGGATAAACAATAGTTAACCTTTGACTTGAAGAGATGAAATTGTAGTATTCATATTGATTGATGAGTTAAAATGTATTCAGATTTTAAGAATGATACAAGTCTTACTAAGTAACCCATAGCTGGAGAGAGAAGAGGTGGATTAATACCTTTACCAAGAGTATTTGCACATAAGTGAATACACCGAACACAATGGGAATTAACAATTCCAAGCCATTATCCATTACACCATCAGCACATCCCGGTATTCCCATGTGGTCACCCATGGAGATACTGACCAGGCTCGATGTTGCTTAACATCTGTGATCATACAGGAACCTATGTTTCAACATGATATGGTTGTAAGTTTGTAGTGTCTATTCCACAATGTGGCAGTTCTTGTGAAAAAGTTCTAAGAGTGGAATTAATACCAAAGATTGTTTTAAATAATAATTTATTTATACATGTATTTAAATGGGTTCATTTTATTTTTCATTTTTTACTTACTTTTAAATATTCTGGAAATAATTTTTTTGATCATTTCACCACAAGTAAGGCCACAAAGCCACTAAGACAAAAGGGATTACTGAGTGTAAAAGAATAAGAAAAAGAAAAACATTATTAAGGAGCAAGAACAATGAAAGAAGAAGAATCAAGAAGACAGTAGTTAACGATTACCATTGTATTTAAATTTTTGAAGATCAAAGTTAGTTGGAAAGCAAGAAGCCAGAAGAGAGTTCCATGGGTAAGAAGTGTGAGGAAAGAAACTGTTAATAAAGAACTTGCAGTTACATCTATCTAATTCAGATGTAAAATGATGATACCTTGCAGCACATCTAGAACGGCACTTAAATTCATAAAATCTAGGTACCATAGAGGAAAGTAATATTTATTTTAAATAGTATAAAAATGTAGAACAAGACCAAAAGGGTGAATAAAGAAAGTCTGGTCTTCAATCTGCCTTAACTTAAACTTAGTTAGCTATGATTACTGATTCAAACATATAACAGTATTTCTTATGCTAAAATAATACATTTTTACTTGTCATTCTTACTACATCCACTATAGAGGAATGTTTATCAAAACTTTCCATGAAAGTATTTATATAAAAGGCACAGGGAAGCTACATTATGGCGGTGGGAAAATGATTGTAGTTGGGATGGTAGTTCAGGACCAATAACATTGCAGATTTGTTATGGTGAAACACACCTATTCTATAGTTAATAGACTCTCCCACCTAATATAAGTAGGAGTAGTAAGAGAAAGGAGAGTCAGTTGATGTTGGACGACAGTAGTCGACAGTTAGTCGAATACGAAAGTAGTCAGCGACCACAAGATTACTCTGCGTAATACCTATTATATCAAGTTCCTAACGTTTTGTACGTCGAACCTATTTTAGGACCGATTTAGTACAAATACAAGCCTCCACTGCAAAATAACTCCACAACAAGATTCTTCTTTAAAACTAAAATATTAATCAACATTCAGTGATGAATTTACAAAGAAAAAGTTATTCATTATCGTAAGTAAAGAACAAAATTTTTAAATGATACTTAATTTAAAAAGCACTATTCAGATATAGAAGTTATCTCCCTTTAATTTCTTGACTTTTGATTTGTTTTCTTCTGAAATGAGTGATTTGACAAAGTGAAGATTGTTTAAAAGTTTTGGTGAAGCCAATTTTTGGGTAAATGACATTCACTTTTAGGATTTACTCCCCTTTTAAAATGATTATTTATTTCTACCATATGTTCTTATGTCAGACAAAAATACTATTAACGTTTTGAGACAGTCATTTGCCCTTTTGGTAGTTTTCTGGGTGTTGAAAATTTAATTATTGCAATAAAAACAGACATTAATAGACAAATAAGGAAGAAGAAAAAATATATAATATAAATACAAAAAAAAAACAAATAAAAAAAAATTCTGACCATTTATGGTTCCTCACTCTTTACAACTCTATTGAGGAATAAAATAGGTGTGCACTACAAATTAAATAATGGGAAAATACAAACAGAAAAGATGTTATATTATACACAGTGTATCAAAAATACCTTTACAAACTTTGGGGACAGGTTCCTCACACCAAAACAAGGAGAAAAGTCCATATAAACATATATCCCCAAATCCTTCATTTTTGAGTTATTGAGTTTAAAGAAAGTCTATGGTAGATGGTGCTGTCTGCCATGCAGACTAGGTTACATTTGTCATTCATGTACACTTGTAGCTAGTCTGTCTTCAACATTTAACGTGTGTAGTTAACTGAGAAGTCTTTCATTTAACAATTGCAGGATATTCACAGATATGAGTTTTACATATAACAGTGTAATGGACATGAGGCTGCATGGTTGTATCAGATTGCATTTCCAGACTGAAGGCAGCCAAGTCATCCAACATTTGCTGCTGTTTATCACTGCATTGCTGAGAAAGGATCCATGGCCCCACAAACTATGGATCAAGGATACTGAGATCTGCTCGTATGCCTGACCATGAAGAACACATTCTACAGGCTGTCAGGTATCAGCATATGTCAATTGTTTCTTCATAATAAATTTTCTTCTCACATTTTTTTCATCTGAGGAACACATGTAGCTGTTATTTTTAGATAAATTTAGATGACAATGCAATTCAGCTGAGACAGGGAAATTAATTGATTTGATATTTACAGAATGAACTAGAAATTAAAATATTCAAATTAACACTTGTAGAAAACAAACATCTATAGTGACAACTGAAAAAAATAAACTGGGAAATAATCAATGATCAACATTTTAAATTCTTTCAGCAAACATTGAAGTTTCTCCTCTGACCATTTCTCATGATTTAGTTGTGATAGTAAATGATTCAATGATTCTACATGAATTTATAGAGTTCAAAATTTAATTATTGCAGTAAAAATGGAAACATTAAAAGAAGCACGAAAAGAAGAAATATATATAAGAATATACTTAATGTAAGAAAGTAAAAAAAAGGGAGATAATAAAGAAAAAAGAAAAAATAAACTAACTGGTTATCTTTTTTCACTCTTCAACTGTGTGTACTATATATAAAATAAGGGGAAGAAGCAAAAAACGAAATGTTATAGATCTTCAGATTTATATATATATATATATATATATATATATCAAAGCCAAACAACATTCATACCTAAAAGCCACTCCTTCTCCTTCCAGAAGAAGGGCTGCTGAAACTTTTAAGTGAAAATCAGAATGTAAGGCCATGTCAATCTTGTACTGGCCTCACAAACCACCAGTAAATATGCACTATCAACAAAGCTGATGAGATGTTAAAATTCTGTCTTCAGTATCAAAACAACTAGCTAGAAGTATGGACAAACAATTTAATTATTATTTTTGTAGTTTTGTGTTGTTATTAGTATTAAAGGCCAATCAATGTCAACTATTTATTTCAAAGAGATGACAGTGAAAAAGAAAGACACAAAAATATAAACTTCTTTGACACATACCTTGCATGCAAAGATTAATGTTAAAATGAAGACTCTAATTGCTGATATATTTAATCAAATTTCATTCTAAACTTTGTGATTGGAACTAATTGCTAATTAAAGTAAAAGTTTCATACAATTAGAAAATAAAAAATGTTTGGAAATAAACAAAATAGTAATCATATATTTAGTAAAACATGATGGACATTTAAAATACTCTGATCCAAGTCAAGTTTAGATTGGGCATGGTGAACAATGAGAAAATAATTGTTTTAATGATACAGTTTATATAGAATTGAAAGAAAAAGATCAAGTACATTTCTTCTTGAAACTCTTTTGGACAATGTATGGTGGAGAGACTTGAGGCAGCAGAAATAAGGTTCTACATAAGGATATTGGGAATGCAATGGACTGAACACAGAAGCAACAACAAGGTTTTACAGAAATTGTAAACAAAATGAATACTTATATGTAGTATCAAAAAGAGATAGTTGAAATTTCTAGGGAACGTAATGAAGGAAAAAGGCTTGGAAAATGGGACATATTGAAGGCAAGAGGGACAGAGGAAATCAGTGTATAACCTTCGTAAGGAGCTTGTGTACATTTTTTCTTTTAATCATTTCACTCTAAAGCAAGGCAATAAAGCCACTAAGTCACAAGGGACTTCTGAATGCTAGAGAATATGAGAAGAAAATCATTATTAAAGAGAGAAAACAATAAAAGAACAAAAATTAAGAAAACAGAAGGGAGCAATTGACATTAAATTTACATTTTTAAAATTCAAAGTTGACTGGGTAGCAAGAATCCAGAAGAGAGTCTCTCAAGTGATAAAATAAACTGTTAGCATATAATTTATGATTACATCTAACCAATTCAACTGTAAAATGATGAGGAATTCAAAGGAACAATTACAGAACAATTAGAGTACAATTACAATAAAAGTATTTATAGAAAAGGGGCAGGTAAGCTACATTATGTCAGTGGGAGAATGACTGAAGATGAGATACCAGGTCAAGACCAATAACAATGCAGATTCATCTTTAGATTTTGTCAAGAATCTCTAAATATATAGCAGGAGCACTATACTAGATGATAACAATGGTTTGTAGTACAGGTATTAGCAAAAAGACAAACTTTACTAAGGGTTACAAAGGATAGGAATTTGTGGAGAACCATGATTGGCCATGTCCTGAAGAGACACAGCACATAGAAAAGAAGATCCTGTAGATATCTATACTTCATAGATTACATAAAAGCATATGATAGAGTACAATAAAAACAGTTAATGGACATATTAGAAAAGCCTGATTTGCATGGAAAATATATTCAAGTAATCCATAACATAGTGGGAACAATCAGCCTGCATGCAGATAGAGAATAAATTCAGTGAATGTACAACAATAGAAAGAGCAGTAAGATACATTTTCTCAGCAGACTTATTCAAACTATACAATGAGGCAATCCTTAAAGACTTGAAGATCTTCCAAGATTTATTAATGATAGATAAAATATTAACAACATAAGATATGTTGATGACACTGTGTTGATGGCAGACTCAGAAAGAAAACTGAAAAATAACTAATAAAAAATGAGGTAATAAAGAAAAGAAAGAAAGAACTATTATCTGTAAGAAGACAGAATGCATGGTCATCAATAAAAGAGACAGCCCAGGGTGTGTACATACTGGGGTTGATAAAGTCAAACAAGCAGATAAATTTAACTATCTGGATGATCTAGTAACAGATACAGAAATTATGACTATCCTTTCTGTTTACAGAGGTGGGGATTGCTTAGACAATATAAAGAATCTCAAGCATGCTTACATATTGTTATATCCTATAAATTCTTCTGTGGAGTATAGGACCACATGTTCACCACACTAGGTGTTGCTGCTGCTGTTATTTAGAAAGAAAATAGGTT